GGAACAACATGTTCATTTAACAAGGAATCCTGTTAAACAGGACTTCCACCTGAAATGTTAAGAGTTAGTATTAGAGTCCTGCATCACCTCATTCCCTGATGTTTTGCGTTGACTCTGCCTTCCATGGCAGCCATTTTGTGGTTTGTTCCCACCAATGCTCCCTCTAAGCAGCGGAGTCTTCTGAGCAAAAATTCTACTTTGTGAGCTACTGGCATTAAAGTTGTGAGCGAGCAGTTTACTTACTCTGGAGCCATCCTTCCTGAGATAAGACAAAAATGTGTGAACTGGAGGCTAAAAAACTGAGCTAGCTCACAGTGACTCAGCTCAGAGGGACCTGAAAACAAAGGGAATTGAAAACAAATCAGCCATTATCATGATGCCCCTGTATAAATCAATGGTGCAACCTCCATTGGACTAGATGGGCCATTGGCCTGATCCAACATTGGCTTCTCTTATGTTCTTATGTTCTGAACACTGGTTCCCAACACTCTGTGTCAAAGGTGCCTGCAGGTTTGAAAAGTTTGGGGACTCCGGGCTTAATGTGTACAACTAGCAATGCAATAAATCTGGATTAAAAAAAAAAATCAGAAAAAAGCATAATGCCCACAAATAAACAGTGCAACGAATATAGTATATCTGGGAGCCTTTTTGAAAGGGGCCACAGAGGATATATGAGGGTCTTGGCCCACTCCGTTGGCTCAGACACCCCCAGACTCTTGGCAATTGCCTGCTGGGTACCCAAGCTCCTCCTACTAGGGACAGTAGCCCACCGTCATGACTGCCTCCAGAGTCCAATGTGACTGTTGAGCGTTCAAGATTCCCAAGAGCTTTTGGTCAAGGGTCCCTCCCATATCGATTCACGTAGGGGCACCAAGGAGTCAACTCCTGGTGGTAAATTCTCTGGCACGGTGACACCTTCATGGTTCTTCTCTGTGATGACATCATTTCCTCTTTTCAGCAACCGACTCCTCGTGGAGGTGCAGACATTGGAGGTGGAGGTGCAGAGCTTTCTACAACGTGTACCACGGAGAGGGAGTTTGGGTCATAACTTCACTGTACCCTCCTCTGTTCCCCTCCCCCATCATGCAGGACATTTTTGATCAGAGAATGGAAACCTCTAATCTCTAGTGCACGCAGCTGTAAGTGCACACGCATGAATGCTAGGGCACTGTGCCATGTACAGCTGGCCCCTTCTGGAGTCAAGTTGCTTCCAAGTTGGGGGGGGGCAACAGTGGGAGGGCTTCAAGTGTCCTGGCCCCACTGCTGGATCTCCTGGTGGCAGCTGGTATTTTTGGCCACTGTGTGACAGAGTGTTGGACTGGGTGGGCCATTGGCCCGATCTAACATTGGCTTCTCTTATGTTAACCTATGCTGACCTTATGCGTTAATGTCCTCCAAAGCATCCTATCATTAACAGCTTTGCTCAGGTTTTGCAAATACGGCCGTGGCTTCCTTGATTGAGCCAATCCATCTCATGGTGGGTCTTCATCTTTTCCTGCTGCCTTCAACTTTTCCTAACATTATCATCTTTTCCAGTGACTCTTGTCTTCTCATAATGTGAGCAGAGTATGATAAATAAGGATGGGCACAAACTGAGAAAATGGAAGTTCATCCCAGTTTGTGAGGTCACCAGGGGTCATTTCGTAGAAAAAGAGGTGCAGGAGCTCATTAACATATTTGCATATGCCACACCCCCTGACATCACTGGAAGTGTGTCAGAAGGCAACACCCACCACTCAGGCTCCACTGGACTGTTTTGGATTGACAGCTATTGGGGGAGGGGGACATGCAGATCTGTCCTCGCAGAGGAGGGAGAGCTTGTACCTGAAGGTGGGCCGGTGGGTGGCTCTGCAACTTACCTGGCTGCTTCTTCTTGCTCCTCGTGGCCCAACTAAGGGCTGCTGGGAGCAGGGGGCAGGGCTTGTTGCATGTGCCCGCCCCCTGGGCTCCTTACTGCCGGAGCTCCGCTCCTGTGCCCTCCCGCAGGAAATGACACCTGGAGGTCACTCAAACCACCATCCTCCCTGTTTTACTAACCGATTCAGTTAGTGAGGTTCAGGGAAACCTCCCTCCTTTCTTCTGGGGGTGGCTCCCTGAAGCCAGCAGAACAGAAGGGGGGCCCTCGTTTCTGCTTGTAGTGGCTCCATGAAAGTGGTGAACTCACTGCTTGGATGCAGCACCTGCTTGCAAAAGCCATTTAAAGGGAATGTTCTGTTTAAATGGCTTGCCATCTGTTTCTCCCCCCCCCTTCCAGTTTGGTGCAGTGGTTAGGAGCATGGGCTCTAATCTGGGAGAACAGGGTTTGATTCCCTACCCCTCCATGTGCAGCTGCTGGTGTGACCTTGGGTCAGTCACAAGTTATTTCAGAGCTGTTCTGTCACGAGCAGTTCTCGAGAGAGAGCTCTCCTAGCCCCACCTACCTCATGGGGAGAATGTTGAGGGGAGGGGAAGGGAAAGGAAAGGAGATTGTAAACTGCTCTGAGATTCCTTCAGGTAGTGAAGGGCGGGGTATAAATCCAATCTCTTCTTCTTCTTCCCACCATGGACCCCACGGACCCCCGAAATCACATGGAGAATTGTGGATGGGCACAAACCTCTGGTTCGTAAACCACGAACTGGCACCATTCATCACAAAATTAGGTTTGTGACAAGGTTCATGCCCATCCCTACTGATAGCTTCAGTTTAGTCCTTTTAGTTTCTTGGGAGAGTTCAGGCTTGACTTGATCTAGGACCCACTCATTTACCTTTTTAAAGGTCCACAGTCTCTGTAAAACTCTCCTTCAACACCACATTTCAAATGAATCAGCTTTCTTCCTGGCAGCTTTCGTCATTGTCCAGCTTTCACACCCATACATAGTAATAGGGAATACTATGGTATGAATTATCTTGATCTTTGTTGCCGGTGACACATCCTTACATTTAAGAATCTCCGTGAGACCATACTCTCAAACAATTATTGTTTTTCTCTCTGTGTATCGTTACACCGAACAAACATCATCTTAGTTTTTAAAGCAATGAAAAGAGGGTGCTAAGGAGTCCACAAAGACACGAGCAGAGCTTTCTACAATGTGTACCACGGAGAGGGAGTTTGGGCCATGATCTTTGGCATGAGAACAGGGGTGTGACAGCCAGGCCCCTATTTTCATCAGTGAGATGTTGGATAGTATGCTGTGGCACCTGGTCCTTCCAGGGATTTTCCTTTTTTTAAAAACTTTTTATTTTCAGTTTTACAAATCTTACATTCCAACTTTACATCTTACATATAAAATAGAGTCTTAAACAATTGTTAAATCTTCTATCCATTTATACACCCTTAACCACCTCTTAGCATGTACTTTTTCATTTTTATTTGAAGCATCAAACTCAAATCATCCATTTGTGCCAACTCTAGTAATTTAAGTGTTAATTCTTCTCTAGAAGATATTATGTCAGATTTCCAATTTTTTGCGAGTAACAAACGAGCAGCGGTTATTATATAGGATATTAAGTATGATTCTTGTACATTACAATTTGGAATTATATTCAACAAATATATTTCGGGTTTTAATGCTAGGTTTTTTTCTAAATTTCTTGAATTATCTTCCGCACCATTTTCCAATAGCCTTGTATTTTACTACATTTCCACCACATATGATAAAAAGTCCCTATATTCGCTTTGCACTTCCAACATTGGTTGGAATATCCAGAATAACATTTAGCTATTTTGTCCGGGGACCAATACCACCTGTGGAACATTTTGTATACATTTTCTTTGTATGAAATGGCTCTCATATATTTAACAGATTTCCAAATTTTTGACCATCGATCAAATTCTATATTCTCTCCTACATACTTCATCCATGAAATCGTTATAGTTTTAATTGTTTCATCTTGTTCATAATCATCCAGCAAGAATCTATAAAGCTTCTGTATTAATTTGTCATTTGAGGACAACCAAATCTTATCCAGTTCGTTATTTTGATCTTCGAAACCTCTTAACATATCCTTTTTATATCTGTCTTGTAACATTATCTGTTCCCACCAGGAGATTATTTTCTTGTAGTAATTTTTCTTCTGTTTTTAGTTTTTTATTTTTATATAACAAGGTTTGATACCTTTCTTTCTTACTTATTGTTATTAATGATGCTTCTATGGGGGAGACCCATCTTGGAGTTTTCCTATAAAAGATATCTTTTATATTGCTCCATATTTTATTCAGCGCTCCTCTTAATGCATGTCTTCCAAAATTTGAATGGATTTTATCTTTCCCATACCATATATAAGCGTGCCGCCCCATATACAAATCATGCCCTTCTAATACTAGGACCCTAATAATAATAATACTTCCAGGGATTTTCCTGATTGCCCACCACATCTGGCCTGGGGAACTTTGTCTTCTAAACTCAAAAATATATATATATATATCACTGTAAATAACTTGTCTGAACGATGGACTAAGGAATATCCCTGTACATCCATGAATCTTTTTGAGCAACCAGGACCAGTAACAATCTCCCACACAGCCACCTCACACTCTTTCCTTCACACCCACATCACGTCCACCTCATGCTCTCTCGCTCACATCCACTTCACCATCTCCCTCACATCCACCTCACACTGAAGGAAAGGAGAACCATATATGCTATCCTGAGCATGTAAATCAACAAAATCAACAACTACTACTACTACTACTGAGAGCCAGTGTGGTGTAGTGGTTAAGAGCGGCAGATCTTAATCTGGAGAACCAGGCCTGATTCCCTACTCTTTCTCCTCCTCCACAGGAAGCCTGCTGGGCGACCTTGGGCCAGTCACAGTTCTCTCAGAACTCTCTCAGCCCCACCTATCTCACAAGGCATCTGTTGTGGGGGGAGGAAGGGAAGGTGATTGCAAGCTGCTTCAAGGCTCCCCAGGGTAGAGAAAAGCGAGGTATACAAACCAACTCTTCTTCTTCTGAATATAAGTCTGCAAGCACTTCACCACCACCACCACCACCACCAGAAATACCCCTGGAAAGCCATACCTTTGCCAGATGTTTGGCTATCCCTCTCCCTCGGTAGGCATCGGGGACTTCCGTATGCTGTAGGTCCACTATTCTCTTCCCCACGTATTCATACAGCAAGACAGCTTTATCATGGCAACCTGCAGGACACCAGAAAAGCAGTGAAGGTTCTCGCACACCAAAGAGCCGACAGAGAGGGGCAGAACGGGGACATCTCACTAGGGTGTCCTACCTGCAAACTCATTGATACTGTAATTATTTTTGTTTACTGACTTGTGAGACACTATATTCAGGATGGACGCAAGAACTGAGGTGGGTGGGTGTCACAAGTTTGTATCAAGGTCAGAGAAATTATGTTTGCTCCCACTCCACCCCACCCCCACAGGAAATTTTAATTCTTTCCTATAACCTGTCCTTTCCATGGTCTCAAGGCCAGTATCGTATAATACATTTATCTTTTTTCAAAAGTCTACTTTCTCTACCTCAGTGTTTGCCAAGATCATCAGCTGAGACCCCTGTTCCTAGGTGCCTCCATAAATGGTCTCAGACCAAAGTAACTGTATAAGATGACACTGTTGGCTAGAATCCTTTATGGATGTGTGATGGAATACTGGCCAAATGTCACAGCAAACCATGTGAACCGATCCCATCAAAAAGCACTGTGCTTGAGGCTCCAAGGAAGTTCTGTCTTTGGCATCTGAAGAGTCGTAGTTCATTCGGACATGCAAGTCATTTTGGTTCAGTAGAAAGAATTCTAACCCTTTGCTTTCTCCACACAAGTGGACAGCAGATGGGAGGCTGTGGCTCAGTGGCAGAGCATCTGCTTGGTACACAGAAAGTCCCAGGTTCAATCCCCAGCATCTCTAGCAAAAATGATCAGGCGGTAGGTGATGAGAAAGAGTTTAATCTGAGACTCTGGCTTGCTGCTGCCAATCAGAATAGGCAATACCGACCTGGATGAGCCAATGGTATAATTCAGTATAAGGCAGCTTCGGGTGTTCAACGGGAGCCATGGCTGAACAGCAGAGGAATTTCTTGGCATGCAGAAGGTCCCAGGTTCAATCCCCGGCATCTCCAGTTAAAAGGACCAGTTAGCAGGGGTCATTTCGTAGAAAAAGAGGTGCAGGAGCTCATTAGCATAACTCATTTGCATATGCCACATGTGTCAGAAGGCAACACCCACTGCTCAGGCTCCACTGGACTGTTTTGGATTGCTAGCTATTGGGGGGGGGGATGCGCAGATCTTCCCTAGCAGAGGAGGGAGAGCTTGTACCTGAATAAAACTTGGCCTTAAAGGTGCCACTGGACTGCGTGGGGTTTGGAGGGGTGGCGGGGGGGGGCGGACATGCAGATCTGTGCAGGAAGGAGGGAGGGAGGGGGAAAAGAGAAGGAAAGGAAAGGAAAGGGCTTCTTGCTCCTCATGGCCCAGGGCTGCTGGGAGCAGGGGGTGGGGCTTGTTGCATGTGCCCGCCCCCTGGGCTCTTTACTCCCGGAGCTCCGCTCCTTTGCGCTCCTGCAGGAAATGACCCCTGCCAGTTAGTCAGTGATGTGAAAGACTTCAGCCTCAGGACCTTGGAAAGCCACTGCCCATCATGAGATAAGAACCCGGAAGGACTGTAAGTGCTTTGAGAATGACCTTTTTTTTGCTGTCAGGTCACAGCTGACTTATGGCAACCAGGCATTCAGAGGTGACTTGCCATTTCCTGCCTCTGCATAGTGACACTGGTATTCCTTGGTGGTCTCCCATCCAAATACTGGCCAGGGCCAACCCTGCTTAGCTTCTGAGATCTGATGAGATCAGCCTAGCCTGGGCCACCCAGGTCAGGCCAAGAGACAAACAGAGGTGGTCGGCCACCAATGCCTGCCTCTGCGTAGCAACCCTGAAATTCCTTGGTGGTCTCCCATCTAAGTACTAACCAGGGCTGACCCTGCTTAGCTTCCAAGATCTGGTGAGATCCAAGCTAGCCTGGGCCATCCAGGGCAGAGCATGAGACAAACAGAGGTGGTTTGCCATTGCCTGCTTCTGCACAGCAACCCTGGAATTCCTTGGTGGTCTCCCATCTAAGTACTAACCAGGGCTGACCCTGCTTAGCTTCCAAGATCTGGTGAGATCCAAGCTAGCCTGGGCCATCCAGGGCAGAGCATGAGACAAACAGAGGTGGTTTGCCATTGCCTGCTTCTGCACAGCAACCCTGGAATTCCTTGGTGGTCTCCCATCCAAATATTAACCAGGGCCGACCCTGCTTAGCTTTCGAGAGCTGACAAGATTGGAGGAGCCTGGGCCACCCAGATCAGGGCAGAAAGCAACACTGGATGCCTTCAGTCCTACAGAATAGTTAAAACCGTTGCCTCCCACTGCGTATCAACCCTGGACTTCCTTGGTTGCCGCCCACCTGAGTACCAACCAGGGTCGACCCCACTTAGCTTCTGAGATCTGACAAGACTGGACATCCAGATCAGGGCAGGAACCACTCTGAGGACACTGGATGCACTTTCCATCCTATTGAGCATTTTAAACAGCGTTCACAGCTTGATGTTTTTTCCCCCCCCCCCCTCCCCCCCCCCCCAGTGCTTTTGTGCCAAATCTGTTTCTCTCTTGCAGGGAGATTCCAGAGGCTGGAGACAGGCTAGAATTCCAAAGCCACAATTGCAGTCACACATTTGAGGATGGAGTGAAAAGAAAGGCTTGTATTGATTCTGCATGGGGCTGGGGGCAGACGAGGCAGTGGGAGGGGGGGTTGGTCAGATATATATATATCACACACACACACAGCTATGAAAGATCCCAGGCAGAATAAAAGCCTCCAGTTCATGCATGCACCGCGTGGCACCAGGGCACAGCTAGGGCGCTTGTCAATTCAGCTGCGCCACGGAGGAGACTGGTACGACCCTCGACTGGGGAGGAGACAGGAGTGGCTCAGCCTCCTTGGGGAGCCAAAAGTTTGAAGCGTTGACAGCCACATAATTCAGCCCAGAGTCACCGGGTGGAAACCTTTGTGGTGGGAAAAGAACAGACCCAATATAGGGGAAGCATTCCCAAGATCGGTTGCGGGGCTCTCTTAACCCTTCACACACTCTCTAGGAACTCTTGTTCACAGATGGTGAAGTTATCTGGAACACCTGAGACAAAATGCTTACTGTTGTGGGGGGTGCTGTTTGTAAAGCCCTCGTATTTGTTTCTGCAGCCTCCCAAAAAATATTCTGCAAGAGTAACCCCAGCCAAATCACTGATACCCAGGAAGGGATGCAGGTTGGAAACTGAACTATTCTGATTCCGATTCCATACCTCACACATACTTCAGTTCCCAAGTGACTCAAGAAATGCCCAGGGAAATGCTGATTGCCACTTTGGGGTCACAAAGCAATTTTTCTCCAGGCCAGTTTGGCCAGGGATCCAGGTGGTTTTTTGGGGGGGGTTCTTTGTCATCTTCTGGGCATGGAACAGGGGTCACTGGCTGTGTGTGGGGGGGGAAGGTATTAGTGAAATCCGTGCATTGCGCAAGGGGGTTGGACTAGATGACCCTGGAGATCCCTTCCAACCAGTGTTCCTTCTAAGCTGAGTTAGAGTGAGCTAGCTCACAGTTTTTCAGCCTCCGTCTCACAGTTCTTTGTCTTCGCTCAGGAAGGATGGCTCCAGAGCAAACTAATTTATGCAGTAGCCAAGTCACCTGCTCACAACTTTAATGCCGACAGCTCACAAAGTAGAATTTTTGCTCACAGGACTCCGCAGCTTAGAGGGAGCATTGCATCCAATTCTATGATTCTATTATCTTAGGTTGCAGACCTGGGCTTTTACTCACTTGCAGTTCTGGGCTGATCCCGAAGTTGTGTTCAGATATCAAAGACAGGAGCAGAGACAGCAAAGTTGTGACTCAAGAGGGCCGATACATGAGAAGAGGGTTAAAAGGGGCCTTTGGAAGTGCAACCCACAAGCTGATGGACAGTCTGTACATAATGTTTCAAAGTGAGATCCATGCCACGGGTGAAGAACTTACCATACGGGCTGTTCAGGGTGCACTATCAGAGTTTACCACCTTGCGTGCAGAACCAAATTGATTTTCTCCTCCCTGCCCTTTGCTGCCTTTGCAACTCTTACACCACATGCAAACGGGAGACTTCCCGCCAGGCCTCATGCCGAGGGAAGCGCAGCTAATACCATTTCGGCAAAGGGCCACAGAGGAAAGGAGAAGCCGAATTAAGAGGAACATTTTGTTCCCAGAGGCAGCGGCTCGGCTCGTTTGATCTAGGACAAGCCCTGCTTAGAGGGCTGTTTTTGCTCTCTCTAATGATCCTGAGCAACAGGGCACATTATGACAGGAAGGGGGGGGAGCATGCCCCCCAGACCACAAACATAGAGAGCTTTAAGCTGGCACCCGCAAGCGCTAAAGAAACCATTTGACACACTGTCCCTCTTACGTTTTACACTCTTTAGGATTCACCTTACAGTTCAGGAATCCAAGCAAGCAACTGGACTGTGTCAATTTCAATTAAAACTCCTGCATGTCACTAAAAAATAAGCAACGGGCAAAACGTTTTTGACTTCAGAAATGCACCCTTCCCGAATTAAAGCACACAGATCTTTGGAAAGACACAGCCAGGAAGACGGACTTCTGAAGATGATTAGAGGATGGGCCTGACAAAGGTGTTAGTCAGGATGGCTCAATGGAGCCTCTATGTTCGGAGGCAGCGTACCTCTGACTTCCCAATTACAGTTGCTTCCATACCCTCCTTATGGGCTTCCTGAAGGCGTCCGACTGGCCACTGTGAAGTACTGGGTTAGCTGGACCTGATCCAGTGAGCTTCTGCTTAGAAGAAACCACTAAGGAGTCGTAACAAACTTATGATGACCCCTCATGGGTTTTCAAGGCAAGAGACGCTCAGAAGCTTTGTCACTGCCTGTCACCACGTCACAATCCTAGACTTCCTTGGCGGTCTCCCATCCAAACACTAACCAGGGCCAACCCTGCTTAGCTTTCAAAATCTGACGAGTTTGGGCTAGCCTGGGCTACCCAGCTCAGGGAATTTCTTACAGATAAGGTGGTAAATCTCCGGAGAAGGACCACTTGGGGGGGAGGGGGGTCAAGATGGAATGGTCCTCACCAGAAGAGATTCTCTAGACATAAAAACCAAAGAGTAGCTT